ATGACAGAACACCCTCACTTTGAGCTGCATGCCCACAGGCAATTTACTCTATAATCTTCCAGTAGGGGGAAGCAGAAGGAAGTGACCTTCTTTCCTCTCCTTCCCTCCCCCATTCTTCACAAGATTATTTTAGTCAGGCCCATACCCTGGTAATTTAGGTTTGATATTGGAATAAAATGAGACAATCAAAAGTCATTCAGCAGGTAGCAAAAAGATGTACTCAGCCACAGCAGGAGGATTTTCTGTAAGCATAGGCATTGAGGATACTATATGTTGATTCAGCTGAGTGAAGCTTCCTTCCTTTAGTTAACCATTGTGATCCACCAGCCAAGCATCTTAGGGCAGGGCACTGGAGCTCCTTGTGCTTATTTTGCCTTTAGGCAACCAGCAAGCTTTGTCAACAGCCTGAGCTTTTAGTCTCCTAAACCAACCAAGTCTCAAGGACAAATTTACCAAGGAAAAACTAGGTTAACCTTTATCGAAGCAATGTCAAATAATCAGGTGGATTTAATTAGGAGGGTGTGCTAGATGAGGAGTTAAATTGTCATCTGATCTTCAGTTGATAAAGAAATACAGAATACCAGGACAAGCATGGGACAGAAGGAGCTGAGATGATATGCACAAGAGACACATCCCATTCTCAGGACCCCTTTGATGATGGATCTGCCTGTGCTGGGCTGGATACCAATTGTGGGGCTCCCCCAAACTCTAGTGCTGTAGTCCTTCCTGTTCCTCTGTCTGCCTATCCATCAGGGACTGGAGGAGGGTTCTGGAATGGCAAGGGGACCTCCTGACTTTTTCATAGTACTGCTGTGGAGTCTGGCGATTCAGCTCCAGGCCTGTGGGGCAACCAATGAACAGGAGGCTGAGGTCCTCAAACAGCATCTCCTCCTGTGGGCACAGTCCCCATGAAGAGAAAATGCTGTCTTGGGACTCTTCATGGTGAATAGTGGCCTGGGCCCCCTGGGAATGACAGGTTTAGCCATTTTGTTCAAAGTAGCAAGAACTTTCTCCCAGCTGAGGAATTCAGAGGCAGTGGGCTTCAGGAATGTCCTCAGGTCAAAGGTGGCATTGAGGTCTTAGGTAAGTAGACTGAGAGGAGTAGAGCAGTTCTGCATAGAGGATGGGCTCGGGCACCCAGCTTTGGACAATAGTAGCTGAGCAAAGGTAGGGAAAGAAGGTAGTGGGTGCAACCTCCACCTTAGGGGTGCTGAGTCCTGGTGAAGGCTGTGCTTGGGGCAGAGAACCATCCTCTGTGTGGGGCAAGGACTTCCTTTGCTATTTGGCCCCCTGTTTGGAGGAATAGTAGCTGTTCAGCTCAGGTGGGCTTGACTCCTCTGACTGCCTTCTCTTCTTCCTTGGTGCCTGAGAGCTTTGGGGTTAGGGAGTTGAAAAAAATGGGTGCCCCAAGATGGGCAAAAGCCCACTCAGACGTCTTGCTATGGTTCATGTTGTGGGGCCCGAATATGTTGGAGCTGTTTACTCTGGGGATAGATCCTGGGACAGAGGTACCCTCTGACTGGGCTGGGATTATCAGTGACCTCCCCCTATGGTACTGTCTTCTTGTCTTGAACCAGCTATTGTACTGCCTCAGACTCCAAGACTATGTCTGTTATAAGGAAGTTGGTTTCTTTGAGAAGAGAATATTACCACTGGGCCAGGTGCAGCACCATCGAGGCTAGCTTCTTGGTCTTATCTCTGTCCACATCTTGTGGTATGAGGCTGCCTAATCCTGGTTTGGGCTCCAGGACCAGGACAGAAGGTTGTGGCACCTCCTTTATGGTTCTCCTTCATTGGTTCCTATGCATAAGCACTGAGAAGAAGCTTCATTACCTTTTTATCCTTTACTTGGAGGATAAAATAAGGAAATGTAAGATTTTCTCTCATATTGCATGAAATCATGTTGGGTTTAACAGATGAATAAATATCTGAGACTTAGGGAGGGAGAATACAATCGTTTACCAAAATCTGCTTTTTTCTTCCAAGGCCCTTATCTTCAGCTTGCAGCTGTAATGAAAATACCACCTATGCCTCCCACCCCCCCAAGATTTTCACTGTATTGTTCAATTCTTCATGATCTTTAGCAGTGCTTTTAGAGTTCTTTTGCAGTATCTTATGTTTCTAACATAGTAGGTAGTGGTAATCAGGTTTGACAAGTATAGGGAGGTTGTCAAATCCTGAATACATGAACCAGGAAGAAAGCAGCAGGCTTTTCTTCTCTTAAGTCAACAAATAGCTGCCTTAAGTACCTTTCAGTGAGGATCACTCAACATCTTCACTCATCAGTTTTCATCTTCATAGGGATTATAGGGTCAATTCTGGTCCAGTAATGGATGGTCTCTCCCATGGAATTAGTAGAATCATAGAACTAGTGTTCAGAGGGATCTGAGAAGCTGTCTGGTCTAACCTCCTCATTTTACAGATGAGAAAACTGAGGTCCAGGGAGTGTAAGAGATTTGTCCAACCTAGTGTCAGAGGTAGGATTGGAAACCTGGTCCTTTAACTCAAGCAGCTTCATCCTTTTCTGAAGGTTTGCTTCCTTTTTCCTTTGGGAAGAGTCTGACATTTAACTTCAATGGTAGGTCTTTTTACATTTCTCGCTTTATGTCCCCTTTGTCCTCAAATGGGTCAGAATTTGCCTTTGCTTCTTTCAATTTTTTTTTTTTCACTATTCTTTCTGTTTGGTGGACAGGTATTCTGTTTTTAGGAGGGAGACCAATCTATACTTTGACTATAGACAACACTTACTTGGCTGTTGCAGAAATAGAAACATCCTAGTTTCTATGAAGATCACTTGTAAAGTTATTTTGACTGCACGTTGGCCTCATTCTCTGTTTTTCTGGTATAAACTTCTTGTGGGCATCTTTGGATGGGAGTTGTCCTTGGTGATTCCTTACCTTACTAACACCTTGATAACCATACCCCAATTTAGGATCACATATTAAGAACTGAAAGGGACCTTAGATGAGAGATAAGAAAGGCAAAATGACTTACTGAAGTTCATGTAAGTAATAACATCTTATATTACCTCTTATCCTGTCTTACCAACTTCATTTTTTTCTCAGGTTCTGTTCTAGTCTTTCAGTTCTCTTCTTTTTCCTTCTTTTCATTTTCTCTTTAGGCCTTTCAGCTCAGATCTTTTCTCCTTCAGCACCTGTCAGTATATTTTCTGACATATAAAAGAGCTATACTGGAGAAATTCTAGAAAGCTTCAATTCATTCTGACTGTCTCTTTTTCTCTATCTCTGCCTCTAACTGTCCCAGTAGATAAAATGTAAAAAGAATCAGTTTAGCGATTGTAGATAATCGAGTACAGTAGCATTATAATATAGTACTTCAATGATAATATAACATAGATAATCCAAAATGAATGTTTTTAGACATTGAATGGAATTACAGAAGCAAACACCTTTGCATGCAATCATTTTATTTCCATTTTTTTCTCCCATTAGCCACTTGGAAAGGAGAGACTGTCTAGATTGAATAAAAAAGATTTTATTGATAGGTAATCATATTAATAATCATAGGTAGGAACAATGAAAATTCAAGAGTTTCACATGAACTCTTTTGGTTTTGATATTTTCTTTGATATTAGGCTGAGGGTGTGGGGGGGAAACGACAGATTTTTTTTAAAATCTTAAATTTATTTCAGATTTTTATGTCTAGATTGTATCACAGTGAATAAAAGCTAATGATTTCATAGGAATTTCACTAATTGTTTTGATATAGCTGTTATGTGGCCACTACTATGTTTTTCATGCAAAAAGAATCTGCCCTTAGGTTTTGGAATGTGGGAGGCAGTGCTGGGAGGTAAAGGACCTTTAGTCCTCTTCTTTGCAACAGTCTTGTACTATTTTGCTTTCACACTTATTTTAAGGATGCAAGATTTTGAAAAATTCAACTTGGGAGAAAACTTACATAGGAAGACAGGAAAAATATTACTGTGGAGGAAAAATGTCCTTTGGGAAATAGTTCTGACTAAAATACTGTAATAGTCAATGAATGGCAATGTGCTTCAAAGGAAAGAATATTAGAATTTAAGTCAGAGGATCAGGGTTATTTTTTTCATTGAACCAATCCCTTATCCTCTCTGGGCCTCAGTTTCCTTATCTGTAAAATAAAGACTTTGGACTAGATGACCTTCCAGTGCTAAATCTATAGATCTGTGACCTCTTATTTTTTCTAATTCCTTCTCCACACTCTTTAAAAAAATCCTTCAGTTTTCAATGAATTTTTTTGTTGTTCTGGGGTGTACAATATTTAATTTGTCAGTTCTGTTACCATTTCCATTAAAAGCATTTCATGGCACAGCTTTGTATGGTAGAAAGGGGTTCAGTATTTATAAGAAGTAGAAAAAGAATATTTTTATTCACACCCATAATTACATATTGAGATAATTCATTCTACCAATCCAGTTTGAGGCAGCATGGAGTAGTGGATAGATAGTTTGGAGTTAGGAACACATAGTAGCTGTGTGATGCTGGGCAAGTTTTCTTATCTGTAAAGTGACGGTAATAACAACACCTGCATCACTACTTTACTACTTCACATGGTCATTAGGATCAAATGAGAAAATATGTGTGAAGTTCACAATCATTAAGTACTTTATACATGTTAGCTATTATTATTATCAGCAACCATTTGTAATTTTAGTCTTAGAGAATTTCTAGGGACACTGAGTAGTTAAATAACTTTACCTAGGGTCAGATTGCCAGTGTATGTTAGAGGCAAAGTTCGCACTCAGAACTTTCTGAATCAGACACTATCTTTCTAGCCACTATTTCAGGCTGTCACTTAGAATGGGATATATATTGGAATTTCTGTTATATATCTGTCTATCAGAATAAAAGTAATACAGTGATAACAGTATTCTTTGGCAAATGTCAGTAAAAATATGCATTTTGTTTCTAAAATTCAGCCTTTTACTGCCCATATAGGTTGTATTTATTTATTTTTGCCTCATTTAATGTTTATATCATCCTTTTACTTTATAAAATTAGCTCGACAAAAGTAAGCTGAAGCCAGGGACAAGAGTTGCTCTGGATATGACTACACTAACTATCATGAGGTAGGCTTCAAAATTCATGTTGCTATAGTTCATCCTTTTATTTTCATGAAGGTAAAGTTTTATCTAAAATAATTTATGATCTTAATCACATAAGAAAAACAAACTTGATCTCTTTCCTTTTTACTAATTTGTATTATCAGTATTTAAAGTGACCGATACTTGATGGATGGATCTATAAAATCCCAGCTCATTAGAAGAGGATGTAATAGTTAAATGACCATTTATTTGCACATTTTAAAACATTTTCCTTTGAATAATTTCTTCATAAGATAGTCCTTTTTTTTTTACCATGTCTGTAGATTGAAAGAAAATATGCCTTTTAAAATAAATATACCTATTTTAACATTACAGATACTTGCCAAGAGAAGTTGATCCATTGGTTTACAACATGTCTCATGAAGACCCTGGGAATGTTTCCTATTCTGAGATTGGAGGGCTTTCCGAACAAATCAGAGAATTAAGAGAGGTATAGGGTTTTTTTTCTTACAGTTAACATTAAATAGTGATGGTTTTAGGATGCCTGAAGGAAGTAACAGTATGATAGTACCATTAATAAATGGTGGTCACTTCTAATGAACTAATTAATACCTGTAGCTGTGAGAGTAGAAGGCTAACTGAAAAATATTAGTGTTGCTAGGTAGTTTGGGGAAAAAAATGGATAGCAGAAAAAGTCTGTTCTTTGACTTTGATAGGAAGAAAAGGAAAAACACCAAAAGTGTTAACTATCATTGAAGAAGCAGCATGAGGTAGTAAAGGAGTAGAGAACTGGCCTTAGAGTCAGGAAAGCCTGAATTCAAGCCTGACTTCTGATGCATATTGGCTGTGTGACCCTAGACAAGTCATCTCATATTTTAGAACCTGAGACAACTTTCTTTTCTTTTTTTAAAATTAATTTATTTTGATTTATCAACCATCACTGCCATAAGCTTTTGAGTTTTAAATTTTTCTCCTCCTCCCTCCCTACCTCCTTTCCCAAGATAGTGCACAGTCTGATAAAGGCTATACATATACCTTCCTATTAAACGTATTTTGACATTAATGATGTTGTAAGGAAGAATTAGAGCCAATAGGAGGAACCACCAGAAACAGGAAACAAAACACAACAGAAGAAAAAAATAGCAAATAGTATGTTTCGATCTGCATTCAAACTCCTTGGTTCTTTCTTTGGATGTGGATAACATTTTCCATCAAGAGGCCTTTGGAGATGTCTTAGATCCTTGCATTGCTGAGAAGGGCTAAGTCTATCAATATTAGTCATCGCACAGTGTGGTTGTTACTGTGTACAACGTTCTCCTGGTTCTGCTGAGACAACATTCTAAAACAATAAGCTGCAGGAAGGTACTGTCTTAGATTGGCAGGAGCTCCCCACCTGAAATCATAGGTCATGTCTGAAAGAAAAAAATCTTGTTCTACCACATGGTTGTTTTACATTATAATTGCATCTTGTTAAAGTCATTTAATCTTGGCATTAATCCTATATCATTTTCTCTATCAACCTTGAAATAATAATAAAAAAGGTAGATATCTATACTTCAAAATATATTATTAAAGTTATTTCCTGGTGTTTAATAAAATACTCACTTTAGGAGTGGCTTTTCTTTTAGCCACTTAGGGGTGAAATCAGTTACAGATTTATCTTGATTTACAGAATAGATAGTTCCTGGAAAAAACTGTAAAGTGACTTACAGTTTCCTGTTGATTTCATTATAATTTGATGCCTAGTCCCACATTTACTAATCTGTATCCCTGTAATCTGTTAAAAGTTCAAGGGCTATTCCATTCATCAGCTTACTGTCTTGAAACACTGTGATAGTATTATAAAATTGAATTTAATGCCAATGTAACAGAAGGAAAGTAGGAACTTCATAGAGCAATGTTTTTCAAAGGGTTGGCCAAAGCACACTAGTGTCATGGGTTTTGCTGCAAATTGTACGGAATTAACAATTGCAATCTCATGCCCATTTATGAGTCTTACGGCTCTCCCACACTGTACATGTTCTCAGCACTTAGACTGTCATATTCGCAGTGTTTTGATAATCTCACCTTTGAACAACTGAGAGCATGAGAGTGTAGATCACAGGTGAATCCTATATTTTTTAGTTTGCTCCTGTCTTGTGGTTTCTATCAGCTAAATATAAATGTTGATTGATGTAAAAAATGAATTTTCAATTGTAACATTATATTCAATTACCTCCCTACATTTCTAGTTTTTTTTTATGATTGTCTCAAAATAGTTAATGTGATATGCCTGTCTTGATGTTTGTTTCTATAAATAAATTTTTATTTTTAAAATATCCAATTATGTTTAATAGAAACATTAAAACAAAACATTCACCACTAGCTATGCATAATAATGATATCTCTCTATGTGAAAGAGCTTTTTAATAAAACATAACATTTTTGCAATTTTACTAATGCTCTCCCTTGCCTGTACCTTTTTATTCTTTTCTTAGGTAATAGAATTACCGCTTACAAATCCTGAATTATTCCAGCGTGTAGGAATAATACCTCCAAAAGGTTGTTTGCTATATGGACCACCAGGTCAGTATATACTTTGAGTGTTTATTATATGTGCTGTAATTTTTGTGGTCTACTGAACTGTTTCTTTGAGCTTTTAAGGAAATCCTCAAATTATTGGAGTTGGGGCAGCTAGGTAGTGCAGTGGATAGAGCACTGGCCCTGGAGTCAGGAGGACCTAAGTCCAAATCCAATCTGAGACCAGACACTTGACACTTATTAGCTTGTGACCGTGGGCAAGTCACTTAACCCCAATTGCCTTGCCCAAAAAAAAAAAAAATTGTTGGAGAATTCCAGTTTTATTTAAGCTAGCATGCCTTTGCCTTCTCATAAGGCCTACCAGGTATTCAAAGGGAATAGTAGAGTATTTATAGAAGCTTTCATTTCTTGCTCTGGAGTCATACAAAGAACAGAGACACCAACAAATGAAGGGAAATGGAGAAGCTGTTGTCGATTTTTGCACCAATGTCTCTCCCCCAGAGACAGTGTATTCTCTCCTTGTATTTGCTTTCCCTCTTTGCTGGGGTAATGGGGAGGTAGTAGCTTTCTGGAGTCTTCGTGACCAGCATGTATTGGACTCTGTCTAGAAGACTTATGGACAGACTTGAACATATGAAAGTATGAATGGGTTACATCTACATTATTGTACTTACAAATCTATTTAGGTGTGATCCTGGCAATGGAATTATGTTGGGGCTTTCATTAGGACCTGTGTGCAAGAAAATGATAAATGGGGAACATTTATCAGAATTTAGTCACAACTAACAGACATTCTAAATGTCCTTCCTAGGAACAGGAAAAACATTGTTGGCAAGAGCCGTTGCTAGCCAGCTGGACTGCAATTTTTTAAAGGTAAAGAAAATTTTTCATAATTTGTATGGTTTTTGCAATGAAAAAAATGTTTTTGTACTTTTTATCTCATTTTTCTGCTTTCATCAGGTTGTATCCAGTTCTATTGTAGACAAGTACATTGGTGAAAGTGCTCGTTTGATCAGAGAAATGTTTAATTATGCCAGGGATCACCAACCATGCATCATTTTTATGGATGAAATAGATGCTATTGGTAAGATGAATTGATTTCAGATTTTATTTTAGGCTTAGCTTAGAAGTGTTTGAAATTCTGAAGAAATTTGATTTTTTTCCTCTCCTATGTTTTTACTCTGTTCTCTGTAGAACAGGGGGAATTAAATATTCAACTTCTTTGTTTTAATAAACTTGTATTTAAGGAACATTGACAAAATGTAAAATTAAAGATTGCATATTAGTTCTAACTGTGACAATATAACTTTTAAAAAATTATTGTCTTGTTTATCCAAATAAATTCTCTTTTGGTAAGTAATTAGATATGAAAAGAAATAGAAATACGTGTAAATTTCTAAATCTTATATTCACTTTAGGTGGCCGTCGTTTTTCTGAGGGTACTTCAGCTGATAGAGAAATTCAGAGAACTCTAATGGAGGTAAACTTTGTAAAAGGGACTTATACGGAAGTCTGTATTTGAAACTGATTTTTTAAACAAAAAAGTTTTTATTTGCCAGTATCTGGTTCTATTTTGATAATTTTGTTTGGTTAAAACATTTAACCTTAGGATGCCAAATCAGTGTCAGAATATTGATGACAAAGAGTGAGCTATATTTTTTGAAAGTTATTTTAGTTCCATAATAACAATTTTTCCTTCTGCTTCATTATTAGATGTAAGTGTGAGTGGACAGAAATGCTGATTTTAATAATAGAGACATATTAAAAAGGAAACACTTGAAGATTTTTTTGAGCAGAGAAGTGATATGACCAAGACTGTGCATAAGATGCTGTTTGCAATATATATATAGTGGTGAATGGAAGGTCTGATAGAAAGCTACTGTTACGGTCCAGACAAATTATGAGGACCTAGATTAGGGTTGGTGCCAGTGGGACTAGAGAAAAGCAGACAGATATGAGAGATGTTGTGGATGTGGAATATACCAATGTAGTAACTGTAAATAAGAGTCAATATCCCAAAATTTCAAACATTTAAGACTAAATGAATGGTGACACTGACAAAAATAGTGAAATCAAGAGGAGGAACAGATGAAAGGTAAAGGGCAGTAAGTTTTGACTATTGAATTTGAGTTGTTAATAGGACAAAGTAAAGATTTCTTGTAGATATTTAGAGATGTCTTTTTGGAACTCAGAAGAGAGGTAAGTACTGAATCAAGAGATCATATTCATAAAAATGGTAGTTGAAGTCATAGGAGTAAATGAGATTGCCAGGCTGAGGGAATGGGAAAAAAAAAGGATCAAGGTCAGCCCCTTTGGTGGTAGAGAGTGGTAGAGAGACAGAAGGAGCAGTTCAAGAGGTAGGAGGAGAAGATAAAGTGTGCAGTATCTTTCAAGCCAAAATTCCCTTGGCTAATCCAACCTTCTCTTCTTTTGTAGGAAGAGGTAGTCAGAAGTATCAAATGCTACAGAAAAGTTGAGTATAAGGACTGAAAAGGGCCCTTGGTTTTGGCAGTTAGAAAGTAAATAAAGTTATTTAATTTCAATGTGGCAGATTTCTAATTGTATGGCTGCAAAATATGGTGCTTTCTAAGAATGGTGTGAAATTTTAAAATAAATTGAACCTATTCAGAGGATAACGTATGTTTACAAATTGGCTCTTAATAATTTGAGTTCAAAAACAACCTACATTTTTCATTTATTTTTATGTGGTTAGCATCTGATCAGTTAATATACAAATTGGGAAAATGCATATTTGTTCTTAAACTTTTATTTTAAAATGTAATTTTCTTCCTGTGAAATTTATTCAACAAAGCCTTGTAGAAATACTTCTAAATACTTGATTCCTTTCAATTATATAAATATTTGATTTCTTTCAATCATATGTAACACACACTATTGCCTTTGGAAAGGAAATAGTGCCTTTATACATCCATTATCACATAAATATGAGGAAATCTTTTATATTAGATTTCCCAAAGAGTAAATCAGTATTTGTCTACATGTCCTATATGAATGTGTACTTCTAGTTTTGAACCTTATGTAGGTGTTTGAATTTATTAAGGCTGGCTGTGATAAAGAAATTTTCATCATAGCATCTGCCATTCTGTTGCTTTCTTGGCACTTTGAGAAAAGTCTCCTATGCAAAATGTAAAAGAAGGTATAGTGAAATAGCCATGGCCTTATGTCATTTTACGTCTTTAATGCTTGGAGGAAAAAATTTCAAGGTATCAGGCAAATAAAGTATTAAAATGTTTGATTTTCATTTTGTTCTTAGTTATTGAATCAGATGGATGGATTTGATACTTTACACAGAGTAAAAATGATCATGGCTACAAACAGACCAGACACATTGGATCCTGCTTTGTTGCGTCCAGGAAGATTAGATAGAAAAATACGTAAGTTAGCTTCAGCTGTTAGCTTTTGCCTTTTTAAAATGTTTCTTTCTTTTACTTTCACAGCCCTTTTTTTCTTTTTAAAAAAAGATTTAAAATCAACTAAACAAATATTTATTAATTTCAGATATTGATTTACCAAATGAACAAGCAAGATTAGACATATTGAAGATTCATGCAGGGCCCATCACAAAACATGGTGAAATAGGTATGAAAATAACCTAAAATCTAATTTTTTGTGTTTTACAAATTAAAGTATTTTTTTAGGCTACATCTGAGCCAGGCCAGTCCTCTGGTAAATTAGATTTCATATAGGAATAAACAGAGATACTTTTAAGTAATTTAATAGTTATCGAAAGGGAAGAGGCATGGAAAGAGAACAAACATTTATATAATACCTCCTATTATCTCATTTGAGTAGGTGCTATTATTATCCCCATTTTGCAGTTGAGGAAACAGAGGAGGTTAAGTGTCTTACCCAGGGTCATCTAGCTAGTATGTGTCTGAGATTAGATTTAAATTTAGGTCTTCTTTACTATAGGCCCAGTGCTCAATCCACTGTGCCACCTAGGACATTTACCTAGCCAAAACAAGGGGCGTGATACATGGTGAGGACATCAGCTGAGTGAAACCCTTTCCCTTTGTGGTTTGCCAGCTAAGCTTTGGAAAGAGGCTGGAGCTTCTCGTGGTTGTTTTATCAAGCAAGAAATATGTGAGTAGCCATAGCTTTTAATCCTCTGAGGCAGTCAGATTTCGAGTACTCTTTTCTTTCCTTTTTGTTTTTTGTTTTTGTAGGCAATAGGGTTAAGTGACTTGCCCAAGGTCACAGCTAGTAAGTGTCATGTATCTGAGGTCAGATTTGAACTCAAGTCCTCCTGATTCCAGGGCCAGTGCTCTATCCACTGTGCCACCTAGCTGCCCCTTTTCAATTTATTTTTAAGGAAAAACTACCATAACTTTCATGGAGGGAGGAGGGAAAGGTGCATTATGATATTTTTCCCACCACACTAAAATAAAATGTTAGCTGAGACTGATCTCTGAGGAATAGTGATACATATATAGTCTAAAAAAAGATTAGAAATAAAGCTTCCTCTTATTTCAGTTAAGTTATGATTATTACAAATATGTAAATTTCCATCATTTTTATTCTCCCTTAGTTGTCAGATTTTTAAAAAATCTTAATAGGTTTCTTGCTTATTATTCTTAGCCTATACTTTGTTGTTGTTGTTGTTGTTTTTAAGATTTGGCAAAAATTTACTTACTGTATAACACAGAAGTGGTTATGCTTCCAAAATTTGGGGATACTGCACTTCAAAAAAATTACATTTTTTATTTTTTAAAAATAACTTTGGATAAAAATACAGCCAATAAAACTTGCGTGGTAACTATTTCATTTAAATAAATTAATCTTTACATCATAATTTTGTTACATAACCTCACTGCAACAAGTTCAAATTCATAGTCAGTAAACATTTAAGTGCCTACTATTGCCAAGGACTGTGCTCAGCTTTGGGGATATGAATACAAAAAAGGAAAGATAGTAACTGCCCTTAAGAAACTTAACTGGGAAAGACAACACAAAAGAAAGCTGAAAAGGGATGAAGATGTGGGAGGGGGTACTCAACTTTGGGCCATGGTAAAGAAGCCAAAGAAAGCCAAAATGAGTGCAGCCTGGTGGGAAAGGAGATATCTGAGGCAATTCTCTATTCTTCCATACTTGATTCCCAATTTCACTCCCTGCTGAGATTGTTCTGAGATTGTTTCTTCTTTCTCCAAGGGCTCCTCCTATCCTGATATCTCTGCAGCATTTGACCTCATTGAATACCCTATTTTCTTTCATACTCTCACTCCACTGGGTTCTCATGACATTCTCCTATTTTTCCATTTGTCTGACAACTCAGTTTCCTTTACTGGCTCATTATCCATGTCATGCACAATGACTATTAGGGGGATTTGTTTCCTCCTCTTTCACTGTACACTTTCTCTTAGTGATATCATGTCTTTTGAATTTAATTATCATCTTGATGCAGATGACTCCTAGATCAATATATCCAGCCTTAGTCGCTTCGGTTCCAGTCCTACATCACTAACTCCCTGTTGGAGATTTTAAATTAAATGTCCAAAAATATCTCAAACTTAGAATGTCCAAAACATAACTCACTGTATTTCTCCCAAAATATAATCTTAGTTAATTTCCAGTATTCTTTATGACTAGATTATGAAGCAATTGTGAAGCTCTCAGATGGCTTTAATGGAGCAGATCTGAGAAATGTTTGCACTGAAGCAGGTAAGAGATTTTTTTCAAATTGCATTATCTTCTGTTTCTGTAATTTGATAAAAGTATGAATTCTTGCAGTTTATGATACTAGAGTGAGCAGGGCATTGGGTTAGAAAATGATGAATTGCTCTGTGTAACATTTCTGTAAATACTGGTTGTCTGTATCCTGTTTTTAGTTCTAACATTGGACTTGCTTTGTGACCCTCATTTTCAGTCTACCTGGCATTTTTGTGCCAAAAGGTTTTGTTTTTAAATAGTAATTATTTCATGAGATCATTAAGAAAATTAATAAATGTATGTGACACCTTTGAGATTTTCTTTTAAGTTGAGTTGAGGAGTTGAGTGAAAGGTAAGTAAATAAAGTTAGGAAGTATGGGTAGCAGAGGTAGTTTGAGAAGGTGGCAGGCAAATGAAAGTTTTTTTAAGGGTAAGACAAAGCTGAGGATGTCAGTAAGCAGTTAGGAAAGAAAATAAAGACTAGTTGGAAAATGGCTACATGGTAGAACCTAGAGGAACCCTAAAAATGCATCCAAAAGAGAGCAGTGATACAGAAAACAAAAAAAAAAAAAAACGCTATAAGCTCATCTGTCTAATCCAGGACTGCACAAAAAGACTGATGCAATTCTGCAAAAGCCCAAAAGGTAAACCCAGAAGAAAATAATAACGACACAACATACCTAACTAGAGACTCAGAAAAAAATGATTTTGCCACAAGGACTATAACAGTACCAGAAGAAATGAAGCAATATATAGAATATGGGAGTTTGAAATATATTATTCCAGAAGCAATAGATAGAGACTTAGATCCAAGAATAACTTGGAAAAATCTATAGAGAAATAGGCACCTTTAATTAAATAGAGTCTTTCCAGTCATTCCTGATGAAAAGGCCAGACCTCAGTAGAAATTTTGAAATGAAGGAATCAAGAGAAATATAGGAAGGTAAGCAATAGGGAATATATGTTAATGAATTGTTTACATTGTAATAGGGGGAAAAAGAAACAGATGTCTTCTCAAAATCATAATTTCTTCAAGGGTCAGCAAAAGTTAAATAAGATAGGACTGGAGGTGTTTTTGTTCTGTTTTGATGGTTAGGATAAAGAAATTTGAAGGATAGGGGATCATATTGAAGAGGAAAGGAGGAGCAAGGGGAAGGAATTCACTATTTCACATGTTATAAAAGATGTACAAACTAGGAAGAAGGGGTTGGAGATTTGTGCTCCTCTAGGTTGTACCATGCAGCCATCTTCCTGTTATTCTTCGTGAATCTTCCCATGAATGTCACTTTTATCTGGATAGGACAAAGGAAGTGCATGAATATGCAACATACGTATGTGAGAGTGGGAATAAACACAACATGAAGTTTGATTTAAAAATAAATTAAGCTCATCAGGAACAAGCGGAGAAAAGAAGGTGATCAGGTGATCCAGTGGATAAGAGAACTGAACCTGAAGTTAGGCAGACCTGAGTTGTAATCCAATCTCAGACACTTGGTAGTGTTATGATCTTGGGCATGTCATTTAACCTTTATCTACCTCTCTCTGCTTCAGTTTCCTCATTTACTCATCTGTAAAGTGGGAATAATAATAGCACCTACTGCTGAGGGTTGTTGTGAGGATCAAGTGAAATGGCATTTTTAAAGTGCTATACAAATGTTATTGTGGTGGTGATGATGATAGGGCAGGATCAGTGGCAAAACAAACTCCATAGTCAAAGAGTTGTTCAAAAAGAAAATAAAAACCTGCTATAAGGTTGGGAGGTAGGGGAAGGGTAAGAGGGGCAACTCAGATGAAACAGATTGTTTCAATTATAGATTACTAGTGTTATGAAGTTTTGCCACCATTTTCTTTATAAAGGAGTGATTCAGGCTAGGAGAAAGTACAGGATGTCTTGGAGGGAAATACACAATTAACAGTAATATCTATGAATATGAATGGGAGAACATACACCTAAGATGGAAGGAGAAAGAATGGATTACAAAGAAGGATCCAAATAATATGTTATGTACAAGAAACACACTTGAAACTGTTAACCCTGAAAACAAACGACCAAAGAGGCACAGAGGTCATGCAGAGCTCACACAGGTTGTGAAAACCACAGTTAACTCTAAAACAGTGGTCATAAGCGAAAGGCTTTCTTTATTCCATTGGAGGAGAGAAACTAGACACATGTGCCGGGGTCCTCTTTAGTAGGAGACCCACTTTAGTGTGGGCAAATCTCAATACTTATACCAATGGCTACACAGTGGGCCATATCCCTGACAATGGAGGGATAACAGCAACAGTGAAATGAGTTTGATTCATAGTCAGACTTCATGACCAGAATATGGATACTATAGTTGCTTGTCATAGCTCCGAGACCACCTGGTACTGATGTGAAAAAATTCAGAGATTTTGCTGTGTCTGAGATCATCCAGAGGGTGAGCTGCAAAGGATTATTGTTATGCCAAGGTCAAGACACAGCTTGCTTGCTGGGCCTTAGCTCTAGATAACAGTGTCTCCTAATAGTAAAAAAAAGAGGAGTGGTCTTGGCATGAGGATCCTGACAAAACAAAGGAGCATACAGGGGTGGAACAAAGATGCATGGTTCAGCAGAACTTAAAAAGAGGGGTACAGGGTACAAGGCACCTAACCTCTCTGGTCTTCAGTTTACTTTACTGTAAAATAAGGGAGTTGTAGTAGTTGACCTCTAAGATATCTGTTCTAGCTTTATTTCTATGGCTTGTGATCATACAGCTATTAAGTGTCAGATCCAGGATTGAAACCCAGCTCTCCTGACTACAAGCCTAACACTTTTTTTTCATTGTACTATTTGTAGGGTTAATTTCATATTAGCTGCTCAGCTCTAATACTCCACTAGATTTTGCTTATTATAAACATACATGCATAAGTAGGAAACATAGTATTCTCTTCTGGGAGAAGAATTGAAGAAGAAGGGAAGGAAGCATTGTTTTTATCATGGTGGTTGAAAGTAAAAACTATACAGATAGCAAGATGTACTATTTAGAATCTGAGATTAAAATGTGGCATTGTGAATTATTTAATGAGCCTTAAACATATGAATACTAATTACAAGCAAAATACTTGATTTTGACATGAAAATATTTGTGTTTAAATTATGATCATTCGTGGTGAATGAAGTATTAAGTAAATTAAATTCCATAATCTAGGAAATAACATTCTAATACTTTTAGTTTCTTCATTCAGTAAAAAATTTTAACAAGGGTGCTAACAAATAGAATTGATTGGTTTGATTTTTACATTGTAAAGTTCATGATAATCAATTAAATTGCCTATAGGAGGGCAACCACAGGAAGAAGCAATGAAGAAACTAGATAGTTCACCAACTATGTAATTAGTCCCAGAGTAATGCCAAAGCCTTTAGGAGTAGGAAAAGGTGATTTTTTTTTTTTTAAATTAAAAAAAATCAAATGGATGTTGGAAATGAAGTAAGATTTAGCACTTTTAGCCTGTAAATAAATTCAGGCTATAGTCAGCACCTGGAGCAGTAAAATATCTTAGTAAGTAGCTTAGGTTAATCTTTGTTTCATGGAATATTACTCCTAGTGCTTTCACTACACAGGTGTATAACCTTAATTTGGCAAATCGTCATAGTTAGCCTCCCTGTTGGTAATACAATTGATTGTTTGAGCATTCCTAGGGAAAAACTCAAATATTTCTTGGCCTGTACTAGATTCTGTAAAAATGTTGGCATTATATTTCCCAGTTGACAAATGGTAAAAGGATATGAACAGGACATTTTCAAAGGAAAAAATTCAAGCTGTCAGTAGCTATATGAAAAAAATGTTCTAAATCATTAATAATTAGAGAAATACAAACTAAAATAATAGTGGGGTTCTGCATCAGACCATCAGATTGGCAAAGTTTACCGGAAAAGGAAAATGACAAATACTGCAGCAGGGGCTGTAGAAAAACAAGTCCTTTTATATACTCTTGATTGAGCTGTGAACTGGTCCAGCCATTCTGGAAAAGTTTGGAGCTGTGGCACAAAAATTGTGCATATTCTTTGACCCAGTTATACCACTATTCAGTCTTTACCTTGAAGAGATCAAAGAAGGAGGTAAAGGACCTTTTTGTACGGAAGTATTTGTAATATCTCCTTTTGCAGTGGCAAAGAATTGGAAATTCAGGGGGTATCCGTCAATTGAGAAAGGGCTGAACAACAACTTACAGTATATGAATGGGATGGAATACATCGTGCTGAAAGAATTGATAAAGACGGGGTGGGAAACTTGGGAAGACTTGTATGAACTGATGGAGAATAATTTATACAATAGCAACACTATGGTAAAGACAACATTGAAAGATATAGGAATGTCTAGCAACACAATTACTAACCATGATTTCAGAGGATTCATGATGAAATGTGCCACCTACTTCTTGATAGAGAGATGATGGACTCAGTACAGATTGAGACATATTTTGGGGGGAGTCATGAACTATGCAGCAATTTGTTTCAGTTGATGTTTATAAGAATTTTTGGGGATTTTTTTCCTCCTTTTTCAGTGGGAGGAGGGGAGAGGGAGAAAAGGTAGACTTTCCTTGGTTGGGAAAAAATGTTCATTTAAAAATGTTAGCACTTTATAACAGAAAGTAAATATGAAAAAATGAAATAATAAATAGCTGAATTTTTAATTGTTACTTTATTTTTCACAGGTATGTTTGCAATTCGTGCTGATCATGATTTTGTAGTACAGGAAGATTTCATGAAAGCAGTCAGGAAAGTGGCTGATTCTAAGAAGTTGGAATCTAAACTAGATTATAAACCTGTCTAAGCTATACTTCTTAAAAGACATTAGCATAATATAAAAATAAAGTTGAGGAAAATTATGTATTGATAATGATCTCATTAAAAGCATATTACATATAAAGTAACAATTCATTAATTCTGCACAATACTGGCACAAAAGACATTTTGTCAATGTTGCATTTATTGCAGCAAATTAAATGATGGATAAGGATTTTTGAAATAGTTACTTTGTGGGCAATTTGTAAAATATTGAAATGACTTGAAGTATCAGTTTTAAAAAAACATTTCTTAAATGACATTTTATATTATTTTACTTGTTTTCTTCATCCCAAAGAGTTGAATAAAATTCATTTGATTCAGTCCTCTTAACATAGTAGCCTTGGCTGAGAGTACATTTGTCACAGTTTTTTGGGATCTTTGGTAAGTTTTATATATGACAGCCCAAATCAGTGTCTCTTGAATTTGAGGGATTTAAAAATTGGTTTTAAAGCAAAACCTACTGTCACTAATCATGGATTCTCATTTACATTATAATGCATTACTGTGCCTCTTAAATCAGCTTGTGTGTATAGTATATCCTTCCATGAAAAAATAATTTTTTTTAAACTAACCTTGCTTGAATTGGGGGGGAAATTTTTTTCTTCCCTCTCTGAGATTAAAAGTGTCGGGTTTTGGCTTTTGTTTTTAGTAGTTATTAGAGTACAGAAGAATTCAGTACTTTGGTTGTACCTAAAGGTAATACTGCCAGTAATTGAGCACACCTTAATATATTTAGAGAATATTCCTAACTGTTGACCCAAAAAGACTTTCTCTGTGCACAGATTCCCCATGATAAGACAGTAAAGGCTACAGGGAAATATGTCACTTGATACTGATTGAAAATGCTGAGGCTGAAAAAGAAAAGCTAATGATAATTTTAGTTTTATAATTAGTTTATTAGCATAATTTACTCAAAACAGCAGTTTTACTAAATCAACCTTCAAACATTAGCTGAGTATTGTGTGCCCTTTTTTAAAAAATCTCTTCCATGTTGGACTATGTGACCTCTAAGATCCCTTCCAGCTCTTAATCTATGATCCTGTGATCACAGCTCTTCCACACATAAAGAGTAGTAGAAAGGGGTGCAGGTGGAAAATACATTGGGATTGCTTACAGTGCAAGCCACTTAACATTATTTAACAGATACATTTTCTAAAACGAATAGTTTGTATTTCCAATATTGTCTTAATGGTAATTCATTTAATTAAAATGAATGCTTGCATTAGGAGCAATATCTTTAAGGCCCTACCCCTCTAAAAAAGAGGCTAGATTTTTCCTTAAAAAGGTACTGAGACCTTAATTCCTGGTGCCATAAGTACAAAAACTGGGGCAGCAATAGTCACCTGGCTCCTTTCTCAGGCTTCTGACCTCAGATCATCATGAGTAACATGGAGGCAGTAAAACTGAGTCCAGATAAATCAGTTCTGTATCTTTGCTGAATATCCTTTTCCTGCTCTGAATTTCCTTTCTCTACCAAGGCTAAGTAAACTTTTTTGTTAATTGTCACACGTTCTGCAAGTGTCTCAATTTACTCCAGTTTCAAACCTATGTAACCAGACTGGCCTGAGTCAATTCTATTATATGTGTGAATGAATGAAAACACATTAGGCACATATTATGTGCTAAGCTTTGGTGATACAAATGGTAAAACAGACCGTCTCTGTTCACAAGAAGCTCACAGTGGAATAGAACATAGGGTAGATGGTAAGGTCTTGAAGTCCTAAGTGTGCAAGAATGGGGCTGGTTTCCAAGGCCCAGAGATCCCTAGGTTAAGTAGGTAGTTAAGATGGCAGTGCCTGGGGACTGTAGGGAATAGAAGCAGAGTAGATGATAAGGTGTAGAGGATCTGAGGATGCAGTGGTAGGACAGATGGTACTGCCATATTATCCAGGCTCTTTGAGTCAAGCAGCCTGAATGAAGTGGGAAGGCATCCCTGGCAATAGTAGTTCTTGCCAATGTTGGGCTGTCCCTGATTCTGGGATAGCCATGAGACTAGAGTTGGGGCTGGGGGGTGAGGCAGTAAGCAAGGGGGTAGAGTGCCTTTAGTAGTGTTGCTTCTTTTCCCCACTGTGGGCTGCTTGGGATGGATTCTGGGACTGACTCCAGATCATCCTGGATATGTATGAATATATCCTTAAAATTGTATTTTTCCCCCCACTGCCGTTTACTCACAAAAAGTGCTGGAATTTGACTTTAGTTAATTACCTTTAATAGGCAATCAACTAAATCACTAAATCATTACATTCATCAGACGTTCTACTTTGAGTTGGTTATTTTTGAAAGATTTTGACCCAATGATGACATTACAATAAAACATTAATAGGCAGGGGTAACCTTTTTTCTTCAACAGTTAGATAAAATATATGGTACTACATCTTAAAAATGCAAGCTACTTAATGTTTTGGTAACCTGTTACTTAAATTTTCTTAAGATTATGTTCTAGTTAAAACATAAGAAAAAGATCAAGTTATCACCTATTACTGGTATAATGTTGGGCAAGGCACTTTAACTCTTGGCCTCCTTTTTGGAAAATAAGAATAGACCAAATGACCTCCCTTTCTTTGTGAACATAAATTGAGTTACTTGGTCCAAATATGTTTTCCTCTATTCAATTACTTGCCACAGTTACTGTAACTGAGGGAAAATGGGATTTAATTTTTCCTTCAGCCACTTTAGGCAATCAATATAAATAAGAAAAAAAAAAAAGATGGGCATAATAGAAAAAAAAAAGTTGGTCCGGAATCAGACCAGAGGGTCATTTCTTTGTGAAACTCGAGATTGGAAAGTAAAGAGCAGTTGCCAGTCAGCATTGGTGAAGGAGTTTTCCTCAGTTGCATCTCCCTACACTCCTTTCTCACGTTACTGCTCGATCTTTACTAGACTTAATTAATTTTTCTAGAGATCTGGTAGAGAAACATAATCTACCGATATAGATTTGGCATCTGCTTCGCATTCATAGTCTTAGAGTTTCTTGGGGTTACTGAAAGGTTAAATGACTTGCCCGGGGTCATAAAGCCACTGTGTCAGAGAGAACTTGAATCTTTGTCTTAATGACTCGGGTTGTGCTGCCTCTCAAGATGTACTAAAGTTAATAAAAATGAATTTAGTTCTTTGGTACTCTTATGGAAATACTTAAGGCTAAAACTTTTCATATGCGTAAAACAAGGTGAGAAGCAGGTGGTGCAATCGGCACAAATTGTGAAAAAAAAATACCAAAAATCACCTTAAATTCTAGGATTACTGCCCCAATTGTCCCATTCATTAGGAGTCATCCTGTCGTATGGCATTTTAACAAACTGCCAAGCGTTCAGGACCGCGTCTTTTAAGCAAGGCAATTAGGTAAAAACGGAACTTCGTATTCCCGGGCTAGGAAGTGCGATCCAGCCCTACCCAGCTTTGTCTGAGACCTACTTCCTGAGTCCAGTGGTTGGGCTGCCCCAACAGCAGCCGCTGCAGGAAGAAGTGCCCGCGTGTCTACGTCAGCTCCGCTGGCGGGATCGGGGGAGGGGCGTGGCCCAAACCGGCGCAGTGACACTTGGAGGCGGGGGCGGGGGGAGTAGGGCGGCACTTTACGTGGTCCTGCGTTGGTTGGGCAGGCAGAGGGAGGGGGGAGGTAGGTGTAGCTCTGCCTTGGCGGTATTGAACTGAACCCTGCTGCTTAGGAGTGCGGGCGGCTGAAGGGGCGGGGTGGGGGGTGGGGGGCGGTGAGGAGGAACAGCATGGCGACGGAGCACGAGCCATTCAACGCTCAGCTGCGCCGCCGTCACCGCCACTGGAGTCTCCGGGAACTAGTGGCCTTCGTGTGTCAGTAGCCAGCCAGCATCCCCGGCCCTCTTGTCTGCTGCAGCCGCTGCTAGCAGTCCCACAGCCTGCCTGAGGGTTACGGGCTGGGCAGCCAGCTGGCCCTCTAGACCACACCGACCAGCTGGCTGGGGCAATGGAGGACGTGAAGTTGGAGTTTCCCACCCTACCACAGTCCAAAGAAGATGCCGAGGTAAGTCAGGCCCCGGGTAGTATCAGGCGACCGCCCGGCCAGAGATAGGCCTTCACCCCGTCAGTCCGGCCTAGGGGGGATCCCCAGGCCTCAGCCTGGCTCCTTGCCGACTCCTTCTCCTGGCCGGGGGCGCCAGGACTTCCCTGGTAAAGTGGGGTTTCGGAGAGAGACCTGCCTCTGAACCGAAGCGCTGACCCGAAGATGGTTTCTCTCAGCGGACTAGAGCGGGGACAGAGAGAGGCAGTCAAGGTCCCCCAGGCAGTTTTGCCTCCTGCTGCCTCTTTTCTGTGGTGCTCCGAGCCAAGCCAGGACGAAAAAAGCTTTTCTTATTCTCTTCCCTGTTGAAAGCCAGATTAGGTTTCAGCCAGTTCCTCCTGGGACAGCAAAGACCTCTGGACTGGAAGGACAGGACTTTGCAAGTACACTTGTAATTTTCCAAAGTTCGGTAGAATTTTGATTGGGAGAGGAGGGAGATGATTAAGAATTTCCATCTAAAAATGTTGGCTCTTTGAGATTAATATAGGGAGTAAGTGACTTGAAGACATTTCAAAATGCTTCCGTAGCCGACGCTTTTGTTTGTGTTTACTATTTTTGTTGTGGTTTACTTAAAGTGCACGTTACCTGATTTGTAGTTGATTTTTCTTGAAGTCTTCATGAACGTATGGAAATCATTTCTTGGTTTCAGAAGTATGAATGTATGGTGCTAGAAAGAAATCTAATATTACTAGTGATCAAAACTTTCCAAATTCCAAACTCAACCCAAAAATGTATTTGAGGAAACAAATGAAAGAATTATTTCATGATGAGCCTGAAAAGGAAGCATTTGTTATTCAAAGATGCCATCCTTTACATTCTTAAACTAAGGAAGCCTGGTATGTGCAGTTATTTAAGCGTTTGCTCTTTTCTGGAAATCAGGAGACCTGAAGGAAAAAGGTAGCTCAAAATGTGTATTGATGGAACCAAGTCTGGGCTCTTCTGTATCAGAAGTTTTGGGGTTTTTTTTTTTTAGGTTTAGATGTACTTAATAATTTTATTAAATTTAGATATTCTGTCATGGCAATTTGTCTTTAGATGTTAGAACCGCCACTACACATTTGACTCACTGCTACACATTAGAATTTCTTACTGTCATTCCTTAGTGAAGGAATGACTTTGGAAACAATAGGTTTTAAAATCCTGTTTTCTTGAATTCAGAAGTGGGAAAAAAAGGGCTAAGTAAGATTTACAGTATAGTCAGTTGTTTTTAAGAATCTTTTCCAAGATTAGCAAGAAAAGTAATAGATGTATTAAGTATGCAAATTTTGGGGGTGCTATTAAGAACTGAAAGCACAGTAATGTCATTTTTATATTATGTTTTTAAAAATCATTTAAGTGATATGAAATTTATCTAATAATCCTTAATTGGATATTTACACAGTGGGATCTTTGTGGTTTGCATATTGGTTTATTTGCTTTCCTAATTTTCCATGTAGGACTTTTAGGCAAATACATGTCTAAAGTTTGAGCTATCAGAATGATCAACTAATATCTTGAGTGACAACATTAGACCTTCTTTTAGGAACTAAGGGAAGAAGGGTAAGGTAAAGTTGTTATTTAGCTGTTTTTCAGTTTTGGCCTTAATAGGGGTTTTCTTGGTAAAGATACTGGAGTGATTTGCCATTTCCTTCTCCAGCTTATTTTACAGATGAGGAAACTGAGGCAAACCGGGTAAAGTGACTTGCCCAGGGTCACATAGATAGTAAATGTCTGAGGCCAGATTTAAACTGAGGTCTTCCTGGCTCTAGACCTAGTAAAGTACCCACTTAAATATCTAGCTGCCCCTTGATGTAGAGTAGGTATTGAAAAGGATGGGGAAAAAGGAGAATTAAAATGCCTGTCAAGTTAAGGAACGGTAAGGTACCATGAAAAATAAGATCCACGTGTTCGATATTAAGATGCGAAAAGATTTCAGCAAGTTAGAATGGTCAGCAAAATATAATATTAAATTAAACTTGACAAATTGCCTACTATGTTCTGGACACTGGGAATACAAAAACAAAAAATTAAATAGTACTTGCCCTCAGGGAGCTTAGTTCTTTACTCTTGGTTTTAGAAACAAGTACACGGTTGAGAAGTAAGAAAGATTTGAGGGGTGTTAGTAGTTTAGCTATATTGATATTGCATTATATGTTAAGTTTACAACACATCTTATATGCTTTATCCATTTTATTTTTGTAACAGGCTTGTGAGATGGTTATTGCAGTTATCACTCCCATTTTAGAGATGCAGAAACTCAGGATACCAGATACTGGAGTTAACCCTGGCTCCCCCCACCTTTTTTTTTTTTTTTTACCTTTTATATTTTACCCATTCAACCAATTGCTAGGTCGTCTTGATCCTATTTTCATACCTCTCAAATTTTTTTCCTCTTCACTCATACAGATCTTTATTTTAGTTCAGACCCTTGTCATCTCTTCCCACAACTATTGAAAAAGCCTACTAATTGGTCTGGATGTCTTCACTCTGTCCTCCGAACAGATACCAAATTGATATTCCTAAAACATAAATCTGACCCTCCCCATCCCTAATCATCCATGGCTACAAGTCAAGTCAACGAGCATTTATTAAGGACTTACTATGTCAATCACTTTGTCAGTAAACATTTATTAAGCACCTATACTGTGCTGAGCAGCAGGGATATCCAGGCAAACAAGACAGTCCATGACCTTGAGGAGCTCACAATCTAATGGGAGAGACATTGCAAATAACTCTACAAACAAGATAGATGTGGAATAAATAGGAAATAGTCCACAGAAGGAAGACACTAGAATTAAGAGAGATTGGGAAAGACTCCCTGTAAAAGGTGGGATTTTATCTAGAACTTGAAGGAAGATGGGGAAGCTATGGGGCAAAGATGAGAAGGGATGAGAGTATTTCATACTTGGGGGATAGCAAGTGAAAATGCTCAGAGTTGGGAGATGGAGTGCCTTGGTTGGGTACATGGGTGGAGGGGAGGGTGTAGTGTAAGAAGAATGGAAAGGTGAAGGAGGCAGGTTATGAAGGACTTTGAATGCCAAATAGAAGATTTTATATTTGATTCTGGAAGTGATAGGGAGCCACTGGAGTTTACTGAGTAGGGTAATGACATGTTTAAGTCTGTGCTTTAGGAAGATTATCTGTCTAGTAGACGAATTAACCAAGCTGTTGCAACCATCAAGTTATGAGATAATACTCTCCAGAAGCAAGATGGTAGCAGTATCAGAGGAGAGATGAGGTCAGAAACAAGACTGTACAAAGTTAAGAAAATAAGAGGAGAGGCAGTAGAGACATTTACTGGACTTCCCAAGGAATTTAGTTACAAAAGGTAGGAGAGATATGGGAAAGTAGCTGGCAGAGATAGATACAGATAGATCAAGTGAGGGTGTTTTGAGGATAGAGGAGACAGGCATATTTGTAGGTAATCTGGAAATAGACAGGGAGAGATTGAAGATAAGTGAGAAAGTAGAGATGATAGAGAAGACAGTTTACTGAAGAGAGGATGCAATGGCATCTCTTATACATGTAGATGGGATTGCTATTGCAAGAAGAACCGAGTCTTGTCATGGGAGAGTGGCATATGGATGACTTGAGATGAGCAGGGAAGAAGACCCTCTCAGAAAAGAGGGGAGTGTAGCTAGAGAAAAGGTGATGGCCTGGGAGAAAACTGAGGGGTGAGGATTTTGGAGCTTGTTGTGTGGATGAAGAATAGGATTTGGTTTTGGGAGGGGGAGAGAGAGAATGCCAATATATGATGATCAGATCAAGAGCAAGGCTCTGACCATCTCTGTGGCTGAGGTAGGATGGAAGTCTTGGGAAATCATTAAGTTGAAGAACTGAGAGGTTAAGGTGTTAGAAGGAGTATCAGTGTGTGTGTCACCTTAGTGTGAGGGCAGGCATTTGGGAGGATAGAAAGATTGTGAGCCAGGCACTGAAATCAGGGAGGGAAAAGTGGAAGTTCCTCTTGGAGCTTGGTAGACAACAGCTAGCAGAATTTTATTGGGCAGTAGATATGGATTGAGTGATCCTCAAAGGAGGAAAAATTACTGAGTGATGGTGGCAGGGGGAAAATCTTGAAATGGCAATGGGGAGCAAGAAGTATTCCAACTCCTCTAACCTCAACTACTGAGTTGGAGGCTTGAAAGTACAGCCAGTGCTGGAAAAGGTGGCCCAGGGAGGCTGTGTTATCAGGAGGGAGCCAGGCCTTAGTGAGACAGAAGGAATGGAAAAGTAAAAGATTTACGATTGAGTAAGTTTATTGCCTATGGAGAAAACATTCTAGAGAAAACAGTGGGAGGCATAGGCAATTTTAGAGTGGGATTTTAGGGGTTGGGGGTTGAAGGGAGTAGAAGTAAGAGATCAGGCAGTGGTGGGCAGGAATAGAGTGACAGCTGGAGAGTCAGAATTGCTGGGTTGGAGAGAGTTTGTTAGTCACTGAGGGATGAGTTTGCGTGGATTTTCATGGTCAGTAGGTCTCTGGATGGAATCTTGCAGTTCAGTTAAGTCACACTTGCTAGGAGCTGAAGGAATGATTATTAATCCCCTTTCCCAAAGACTGGAGACTTGATGGAATGGCCTTTCTCCTCTTTCCTAAAAAGTAGTATGGTGCTTGATGATATAGTGTTTCTCCTCTTCCAGCAGAGGCAGGAGACCTGGTGTGATGGAATGGTGTTTTCACCCTGTTCCTCACTGTGGAATATGCCAGGAACTGTGCTAAATTCTGGAAAGACAAATACAAACCATACCATAAACAACTCATAAAAGGAAGCTGAGGGTAGGGGAGGGAGGAGGTCTGGCGCTAGATTTTGGTAAAGAAAGTTGGAAGAAGAATCAGAAGTGCAGCCTTTGGAGTGATAAAGATCTGGGTGATCTTGGCATCTTTCTTAAAATGGAAGTTCTAGGAGGAATCAAAGGGAGAGGTCGAAGGGGCAGAGGGTAATTCAAGTTTATGAAACTTCCAGGATGGAAAGTTTTCTGGGGCATGG